TGCATCTGAAAACACCCAATTCTGAAATCCGTAGCCAAAACTATTACTGAAAAGGCGAAAAATCACAAAAATTGGAGGAGCCGCCTCCACCACCATGTAGAGCCGGCTCCACACAAGGTGGAGCCGCCTCTAGAGCCCCAAGAGCCGGCTCTACCTAAGGTAGAGCCTGCTCTACTCTTTGGTGGAGCCTGCTCTACTCAAACTAGAGCAAGCTCTTCCCCTGTGCGTTATCTTTTCCAACTCCGGCGGTGTTCGGCTATGTTGATCCTCCAAACCAAGTTCCTTACTGATTAAAACTAAGTCCTTGTGTGTTCAAAAGTTATTTAACTTCCTTGATTATTAATCAAATTCAATGGGAACAAGAATTAAACAAAATAGTTTAAAAATGATTAACCTGCACATAAAAGAAAACATGTTGTTTTGCCTTCTTCTCCAACTCTGGCGGTGTCCGGCTAACTTGTACTTCCAACCAACTTTCCTATGGATTAAAACTATGTCCCAAAGTGCTCTAAAGTTATTTAAGTTCATTACTTGTTAATCAAATTCAATTAGAACAAGAACAAGCACAAACAGTTTCAACACGAACAGAAAATACTTACAAGAACCCATACTGTTTGAACAAATAATTACAACCAAATTAATTTAGCTTTATTTCTTCCTGGAACTGAATTAGAGATGCAAAGAACACAGGCCAAAGAGATAGAGTTAGTAATAAAACTTGCCTGTGAGATTCGGTTCAAAAATCTCAACGTCTTTCTTCTAAGTTTTCCGGCGAACTACCTTCTCCTAACTCCCCTGATACTTCTGCCGCCAATACGTGTGGTTAGGGTTCTAAACCCTTGGCAGTCATATACAGATATATATATATAGGCCAACTAAACCTAGGTGCAATTAAACCCTAATCCTATTACTAGACAGAAAAAAATAAGTCGGCTAAATACGTGGCTTCCCTAAACTGATAAAACCCTAATTTAATAAATAAAACATTTAACTTAATTCAAATAAATACTAACTAACATAAACAATCAATTTAAAATAGAACAAATAATCAATTTAAGCAATTAAAGCAAAACAAAAATTCAACTAAATAACAATTTAAATAAACAAACAAACACAACAACTACAAATAACCAACTAAATAAACTAAAAACACAATTAAACATTTAAATAAATTCCAGAACTATCCTGTTTAAAATTAGGGGTATTACATAAATCTAGTCTCCAGGAAATGTAAATTGTCACATAGCTTATGTGACATGTGTTACCCAAAGTTTAATAATATTTTCTTCTTCATATACATACATATACAAAACCTCACCATTCAACTACACTTCGGTACGCATACACACACATGACATTACAAATGAAAAGTGTATTCCCTGAGTTCTCATTTCTTTTATTTCTTTGATTTAATTTTTAAATCAATTAAATGTGCAAATTTAAGCTCAAATAAGAATTAAATAAATTCACAATAATAAATAAAGGACAAATAAAAATTCAGGATATGACAATTTACCCTTCTTAAAAGAATTTCGTCCTCGAAATTAAAGTGTATGAAACATACCAAACAAGTGAGGATACTGCATTCTCATAGTTTCCTCACTTTCCTACGTTGCTTCTTCCACTGTATGACTCCTCCACAAAACTTTTACCAATTGTATGGTTTTATTTCGTAACACTTGCTCTCGATGATCCAAAATCTGTTCCGGTTCCTCTACATAAGTCAAATCTTCCTTCAACTCTATCGGTTCTGCAACTAAAACATGAGATGGATCTGATATGTACTTCTGAAGCATAGACACATGGAAAATGTCATGCAATTTGGATAATTCTTCGGGTAATTCCAACCGATACGCCACTGCTCCTATCCGTTCTAGAATTTTGTAAGGTCCAATATATCTGGGACTTAATTTACCCTTCTTTCCAAATCTCATAATACCTTTCCAAGGAGAAATACGAAGAAAAACAAAATCACCAACTTCAAATTCCAAATCTCTTCTTTTTCGCACATCTACATAACTTTTCTGTCTTTCCTGTACTACTTTCATACGTTGTTGAATTACTTTCTTTTTTTCTGTTGTAAGTTCAATCAATTCTGGACCCAATAACTTTCTTTCACCCACTTCACCCCAACACACTGGAGTTCTACATTTCCTCCCATATAATGCTTCATATGGTGCCATCCCAATAGTAGATTGATAACTATTATTATAAGCAAATTCAATCAACGATAAATAATCATCCCAACTACCTTTGAAATCCAGCATACAAGCTCTCAACATATCTTCCAAAATCTGAATAGTTCATTCTGACTGCCCATCTGTTTGCGGGTGAAAAGCTGTACTGAACTTCAAAGAAGTTTTCATGGCTTCATACAAACTACACCAAAATCTAGAAGTGAATTTCGGATCCCTATCACAAACAATAGAAACCGGAGCCCCATGCAAACATATGATTTCATCAACATACAAACGAGCATATTCCTTTGTAAAGTAAGTAGTTTTTACTGCCAGAAAATGAGCTGATTTTTTCAATCTATCAACTATCACCCAAATAGAGTCATGTCCCCATTTTGATCTTGGAAGTCCCGTCACAAAATCCATTGTCACATGCTCCCAATTCCATTGAGGAGTTGGCAACGGCTGCAACAACCCCGCTGGTTTCTGATGTTCAGCTTTCACTCGTTGACATACCAAACACTTTGCTACAAATTCTGCAATTTCACGCTTCATATTGTTCCACTAATAGTATTCCTTCAAGTCCCTGTACATTTTAGTACTACCCGGATGCATAGCATATATAGAACTGTGGGCTTCATTTAAAATATCTTTCTTCAAAGAAACATCATTTGGAACACAAATTTGACTTTTAAAATACAAAGTCCCATCGTCCTTAACCATAAATTCAGTTTGCATACCTTCTTGAACTTCTCTTCTTTTCTTATCCAAGAATACATCATGAATTTGTAACTCTTTAATTCGATCCAGCAACAAAGGTCTCACCATAACATGTGCAAAGAATGCTCCTTCATTTGTAACTGTCAATTCAACTCCCATCAATCTCAACTCCATAATATTTGCCACCCATGCACACTGTACACAAGATAGTCTCCCTGAAGACTTCCTACTCAAAGTATCTGCTACTATATTGGCTTTTCCAGGATGATGGTGAATATTATAGTCATAATCTTTGATTAACTCCATCCAACATCTCTGTCTCAAATTTAAGTCCTTCTGTGTAAATAAATACTTCAAACTCTGATGGTCAGTGAATATTTCATAAATTTCACCATACAGATAATGCCTCCACAATTTCAAAGCAAAAACAATAGCAGCTAACTCCAAGGCATGTGTAGGATAATTCAATTCATGATTCTTCAATTGTCTAGAAGCATATGCAATTACCTTACCATTCTGCATCAAAACACATCCCAGACCCTGATGTGAAGCATCAGTGTAAATTACAAAACCTTCACCACCACACTGAATAGTTAACACTGGAGCTGACGTTAACTTTTTCTTCAATTCTTCAAAACTTCTTTGGCATTCCTCACTCCACACAAATTTTACTTCCTTCCTGGTTAATTTTGTTAATGGCAATGCAATACTAGAAAACCCTTGGATGAATCTCCTGTAATAACCTGCTAATCCCAAAAAACTTCTGACTTCTGTCACATTGGTAGGCCTTTCCCATTTCACCACTGCTTCCACTTTTGACGGGTCAACATAAATACCATCCCTAGATACCACATGCCCCAAAAATACAACTTTATCAAGCCAAAATTCACATTTGCTAAACTTAGCAAAAAGTTGTTTCTCCCGTAGGATCTGTAGTGCAATTCTTAAATGATTTTCATGTTCATCCATACTCCGAGAATATATCAAAATATCATTAATGAAGACGATAATAAAAGAGTCAACATACGGATGAAATACTCGATTCATTAAGTCCATAAACACCGCTGGAGCATTGGTTAACCCAAAAGGCATTACCAAAAACTCATAATGGCCATATCGAGTCCGAAAAGCAATTTTAGAAATATCACTATCCTTTACCTTCAACTGGTGGTATCCTGACCTCAAATCAATCTTAGAAAACACCTTTGCCCCTTGCAACTGATCAAACAGATCATCAATTCGCGGTAATGGATACTTGTTTCTAATGGTTACTTTATTTAACTGTCTGTAATCAATACACAGCCGCATAGTACTATCCTTTTTCTTGACAAATAACACCGGTGCGCCCCACGGTGAAATACTAGGTTAAATGAAGCCCTTATCAAGTAGATCTTGCAACTGTACTTTCAACTCTTTCAATTCTGTCGGTGCCATTCAATACAAAGCGAGGGAAATTGGAGTTGTTATTGATACCAACTCAATGGTAAAATCTACCTCTCTGTCCCTTGGCAACCCCAGTAATTCTTCTGGAAACACATCTGTGAATTCCCTTACCACCGGTATATTTTCAAGTGTCACCTCTTTATTTTCAGTATCAACCACATAAGCTAAATAACCCTGACACCCTTTCTTCAACAACTTCCTGGTTTGTATAGCTGAGATGATACAGTTTGGCATAATATTTATTTCCCCGGTAAATCTAAATTCTGGCTCCCCTGGTATCTGAAATACAACTTCTTTCCGAAAACAATCTATTGAAGCATGATACGTAGACAGCCAATTCATACCCAAAATGATATCAAAGTCTGGTATACCCAACGGTATCAAATTCACCTTTAACTGTTTATCCCCCATTTGTAATACACAATCCCAATATTCATTTGCAACCACCATAACTTCCCCCATTGGCGTAGAAATAAACAATTTACTATCTAGTGATGAAATTGGTCTACCCAAATGCATAGCAATAAATGATGCAACAAATGAATAGGTTGAGCCAGGATCAATAAGCACAGTAACATTTCTATTCAAAATAGAAAGTGTACCTGTCACCACTTCTGGAGTTGCTTGAGCATCCTGAAGTGTCATAGCAAAAACACTTCCCTAGGCTTGCGAACCACTTATAACTCCCCTACCTCCTTTTGACGAGCTCCCCTGTGGAAAAACTTTACCAGAACCAACAACACTACCCACTGAGGTCACTCCTGTCAACATAGGATAATCTCTCTTCCGATGACCTGGCTGATGGCAATGATAGCACTCTTCTACTTTCAAAACAGGACAATCTTTCTTCTGGTGACCTTCCCTTCCACACTGAAAACACCCCGTGCCAGTACCACGTCCTCCAAAGCTACCTTATTGTACAAATTGTTGTTCAGAAAGCCCTTGACCTCTTCCAATACCTGATGTCTGCCCTTGAGATTCACTACCCCTTCCCCTTCCATACCACGACCTTTAACTTTTCTAACTTGAAATTCCTTCACCCCCTCTTGATTGTGATGGCTCAGATCTATTTCTTTTGTATTGTTCCCTTCTTTCTTGCAATTCTTTCACATCCCTTTCGGTAATCATGACTTTATTCACAAGTCTGTTGTAATCTGTTTCCTCAAACACTGAAACTCTGGACTTAATAGCCGCCTCTAAACCATCCTGGAATTTTATACATTTATCTTCTTCATTCTGTACAAACTTGGGTGCAAACCTCGATAAAGCAATAAACTTAACTTCATAATCAATTACAGACATTCTATCTTGTTTTAAGAGAATAAACTCCCGTTCCTTCTCTTTTCTGTAAATGGGAGGTAAATATTTCTCATAAAAAGCTTTAACAAATGGATTCCAGAATATCACCTCTTTCTCTCCTGAAGTGAGCAACAAATGTTTTTTCGTGTCCCACCAATAACTAGCTTCATTTTTGAACATAAATGTAGCTAAGTTTACCTTCTGGTCTTCTGCTGTACCCATCACTGCAAATATCGATTCCATTCTTCTTACCCAGCCCTCTGCTTCTTCTGGTTTGGTAGTACCTGAAAATTCTGGGGGTGTTAACTTGATAAACCTCTCATAATCTGAGCCTTTCTTTCCTTTCTGTTGTCTTTCCAGCCTTTCTTGTATCGTCATTTGACTTGCCATAAATTGTTTGTTTTGTTCTGCCAAGTCTGTTACAGCCTTTTTCCATTTTCTGCATACCAGTTAAGTACTCCTGCTCTCTTCTCATACCACCCTGAATAGGTTGTTCCACTTCAGCCTCAACAGGAACATAAGTGGCTTCACCCTCAGTTCCATGATAACCACTTTCCCTTTCCATTTCTTTTTATCTGCAATGAATCTCAACTATAACAACATATATATGATACATAATCACCACATATATCTGTTAGTATAAAATTAAGTCAAACAAATGACTCTACTATACACTTCTTACTACCACTATCAATCTAGACTCGTATTACCTCCAGAACCTAGAAAACCTAGGCTCTGATACCAAAAGTTAACACACCCCAACCCAATTTACACTATTTAACAAATTGAACAACTTGGAATGCATCTAACCATCCGCATTAACCTTATTCAAACATGACGTCATCCTACATCAGAGTACCTGTTTAACAGTTTACAATTTTAAACAAACTACAAGCCCATTATGCAGTTCCAACAAAACTAAAACGTTAATTTCAAGTTACACTATTAAATTCTACTACAATATTTACATCCTATACAGAAGATGTTCCATTGTCATTTTCACCAGTCACACTCAAGACTCTAGACCTGGCAATAGCAACCCAACCTGATACCTGAGAAAATAAAGATATGGAAGGAGTGAGCTTAAAGCCCAGTGAATGCAACACTATTACATCAGAGTAATATAAACCAATATTAACTGATAATTTCAAATTAACTTCATAACCTATAACTTCCAGCTTTAAAGGCATTAAAATATAGTACTCTCCTTCTAGGTCAGAGTATGGACCTTATATAATATAGTACTCTCCTTCCAGGCCAGAGTATGGACCTTATTTAACTATAGAACTCTCCTTCTAGGTCAGAGTATAGACCTTATCTAATATATTACTCTCCTTCCAGGCCAGAGTATGAACCTTATTTAATATATATATAAGCATTTCCACATTAAATAAATATCTTCAATACTTCTACATACCCATTCAAGTATAAACTTCTAGTGAGTACACTCACCTTGGCTACTTTTCAAATTATCTACTTATCCTTTGATATTGCTGAAGTGATCAGTTCATTCTCCTTGCCTGAACAATAATATAACCAAGTTATATTTATTTTCTAAAGAGAATTAAATCACAATCATCACCTCAATTAAAATTCTCAAACTTTATACACACTTTTGGCTAAATTCTAATCACATGTCTTTATATAAATTTCCAGCTTGATGACCCCAAAGAAAATAACCATAACCATGGTATCACTTTACACAAAACAGCCTTTGAATAAATAAATAAAATATAAAAATAGATGATACATATACTGGAACAATTAATTGGATTAATTATTAAAATAAATAAATAATCAACTTCCAACATAGAAATTATAATATAAAACCCCTCACCTTTGCTTGAATTCAACAACAGTTTAAAGAGAAAACCCCTTTTTTTCTTTTTTACCTCCTCCTCCGTATTTTTCTTCTCTCTTTGAACTATCTCTAAATAGCTCACTGTTTTGATATATTTTGTGTGTCTCAACCAAAACAATGGCTTTCTCAAAGGCGATCCAAACAGGTTTATAAAGATAGAATTAACCTTATACATATATAGAGTATATCTACATAATTACGTGTCCTGTGTGTTCGGTCCAGTCTTGTGCTGCCAGCAACCTGACTTTACTCATCTATATCCATATAAATGATAATTGAAACCTATATATATACAATTATATATTGCAGCCACCAGCCACCACTTTAAAGCATAATAACTTTAGTCTTGAAAAGTGTATAGTCACATGGATGGTGTAAATCTAGTCTCCAGGAAATGTAAATTGTCACATAGCTTATGTGACATGTATTACCCAAAATTTAATAATATTTTCTTCTTCATATACATACATATACAAAACCTCACCATTCAACTACACTTCGGTACGCATACACACACATGACATTACAAATAAAAAGTGTATTCCCTGAGTTCTCATTTCTTTTATTTCTTTGATTTAATTTTTAAATCAATTAAATGTGCAAATTTAAGCTCAATTAAGAATTAAATAAATTCACAATAATAAATAAAGGACAAATAAAAATTCGGGATATGACATATGCACTAATAAATCAAAAATAGAGCAGGTTTAAGTAGTGAGAATGGATACCAGCCCAAGTAAGATTATGTAAGCCCCTTCTGCAGATATAAAACCACAAAATAAATTTGCTGGAGTCTTGTTTTAAGCTCAGACTCCACCACAGCTACATTTCACCTTCTGCAACCACTCATTTGCACCATAAAATTGTAGCATAATGTATCTACTGATTTTACACCTTTTAAATGTTGATTCCAGAGTTCAAAAGCTGCTTAAAACCTCTATAAACCCTTTAAAATCTCAATATACTTTAAGCTCTCGAGACCACCTTCATTTTCAGCTCAAGGACACATTTTAGGCTCTCTCTTGTGCTCCCACAACTGCTACTGCTATAACAGTATATTTATACAAGTCTTATTGCTGCCCTAGAATTGATAAGTACATTCCATCATTAGCCAATCACAAATAGTGAAATATTCAGATAGTATAAGCAATGAATGGACTGAAATACCCCTCTATTCTCTCAGCATTTGTCATCAAAAACACATTTTCTGCAGCCTTTACTATCATTGTACAATGTTGATACCTACGGCTGGTAATTTGCATTTCTGTCATTATCCTCTCTCACTAGGACCAGTGTGAACATGGCACAATGTAGGGAGTCCATCATTCCACCAGAAATATCAAGGTAATACCAAAACTGCCCTCACATCAGGGTTGTATTTGCTTCCACCTGTGTGTGTGAATACAGCCTCATTAAGAACCTGTGATGTATTGCAGCACTTAAGGGAAGAGTAATCCATTGACATCATGAGTGTAAAGACTGAAATACCCCTGTGAAGAATAGCACTATGAGAATGTATAGCCATGAACCCTTTTGGTTAACATTTGACATTAAAAAGGCAAACCTCACTTAGGACCAACACAATCCCCCAGTGCTAGAAATTTCTTTTAAGCCTTGTTTAACTCCATTTTGGCCCCCGGCCTAATCGGTTTGCTTCTTGATCATTGGGAACATCATCAAAGACCCGAAAAAAGGTAGGGTTGACCACTTTTGAAGGATAAGCACACTATACGAACAATGGCTACGGCCTTTTTTTGCCATTTTCTAAACTTTTTCTAACTATTTTTCCTTGACTCCAAAAAGGCTTTAATGAACCAAAATTAGTCTATTTGAACCTTATTGACCTAAAATTGATAAAAACATAAATTAGAACTAAAACATGAAAGTAAGATAGATGTAAAGACTAAAATACCCTAGTTTAGGCACTGAAATGTGCAACATTTAAGCACTTATCAATTAACATGGTTGGCATCTTTTTGCGTACTCCATACAATCTTTAACCATGGATGGCCAATAGTATCCCATTCTCTTTACACAGAAGTGGGGCTTAGGCCAGATTGTTGAGCTCCACATATTCCAGAATGCGTTTCTTCCATTACATGGGTTGTTTCATCTTCTTCAAGACTATGAAGGTAAAGACCTTCGAAAAAATGCCTTACAATGTGTCTTTATAATAAATGAATCAAGGTACTCGTCTACGTATCTCAGTCCTTTTGCGTGGGTCTTCAAAAAGCCTTCCACGGTCTAAATAGTCGATGAGAGGATGTCTCCAATCATCTTCAGCACTCACAATAGAGATTGGACTACTCTATTCAAATTTATATTCTAAAACTTGTGGTGATACCCATCATTGGCATACTGGCACGTTAACTGCTTCTTCATAAACTAATACCAATGTTGTAGGTAAATTGACTAGAACATCAGCCATACGATTTTCAATTCTAGGAATATGTTTTAGGACGGCGCTATCAAAAAATTTCAATAGGTGAGAAGCACAACGGTGATATGGTATTAGGTCATCTTTTTTAACCTCATAATCTTTGAGAAGTTGATTGATCACCAGTTAAGAATCTCTGTATATCTCTAGATCTATAATCTTCATCTCACTTGCCATTTGAAGACCAATAATGTAATGACCCAAACCAGGGGTTCGGATCGCTAACCAGGTCCTAACCTGACCTGGGAACACATAAGGTTAAAATGGTCATTATGCACCTTACTATTTGTTCGGAGTCATAATGATGGCAGACCAATTATTTTCTAACTAAACCGGGTCATGAAAGGGTGAAAACCTCGACTTCGGGCTCACTCTAGAGCCTTAGGGTTGATAAGGGTAAAATGGTCTTTTCAAGTCAGAATTATGGATTGTTATTGATACCATTTGAAAGATGGCTCACAAACATGCAAGTTAGACTCAAGAACGACCCTATTCGGGTTTAAAATGAAGAAGTTATAAACATTTGAAATTTGGGTTAACAGAGGTATAATGTAACGACCCGAACTCATGGATCCAAATTGTTCTCTAGTACTTACCTGAACCCAAGGACTCGTAGTAGTTAAACAATCATTCACTTTCCCAAACACCATTAATACAATGTACATGGTGGACAAGGGCATCAACTGAGGGTAAAAGGGGTAATATAGGAAAGGAAAAATATAAGGGGCAGGTTATAGGAATCGGTTGACGTGAAGTGGTTATATGTCGATCGATTAAAGGATATTGGTCGATGTGAAGTGGTTACACGTCGATCAATTTTTCTTAACAACAATAGTTTAGCTACTGTACACATACCGGTCGACGTGTGGCATGAATACGTCGACCGAAACCTACTTTCCCTATAAACATTGCTCATTTAACTGCCCACCAACTTACAACCACTTTACTGAATCTCAACCACTATTACGCCACCAAATCACCACTAAAATGATACTATAACACAATTGTACGCATATATATATATATTACACTTACGTGATACATTTATCCCAATAATTCCTTTTTTCTTACACACTCAACTAAACAGCGTTAACATGGTTTTAGGATAATCCACAAACACGTGTTATAAAATATATAACTATATCCATATGTGAGGGTTTTGATGAGCGCTGAATATTGCATATTCGAGCTCCTAAACGTGTGTATGTTAAGACCTTAAATGATACTTTTATCCAGTTTTAGACTGATTTTAGTTTATTTGCTTTTG